AACTTTTTTCCAATTACCAAAAGAAAGAATATATTTTTATCATCTTTCACATTTCCATTTTTAAAGAACTGCATTCAGGTAGGGTCGTCTTAACCCCTAGGCCACTAAAGTCATCGTTTGGGGCCCCATATATTTTGGGGCCCCCATTTTTTAAAAACAATTACTTATATATGTTATTTTAGAAAAAAATTATATGTACTATGAGTGTTATGATTTCTACTAAGAAAATTGCATATGAGATGAAAAAAAACCTGAATTTCGTAAGAAACACTTTGATGAAAATATGGATAGCGAAATTACAAAGTCCCTTGAAAAATCTTTTAGAGTTAATTGCTTTATATATGTAGAGTATATCAAACTATTTTTTCACTTCAAAATAGATTTGAACCATTGAAGCATATGAAAATATTTTTGATTTCTTATTTAATGGTAAAATATTGAGATCACTAGATGATGAGAATTTAAAAAAAAAATATTGTCTTAACCTTGAACTTTCTTTAACACGTAATAGTTATTCTGATATTGATGGTTTAGATTTATTTTTTAAATTAAAAGTGCTAAGGGAAATAATACAAGTAGAAGATAATGATCTTATGAAAATACCCTATCAAACAAAAAGACTTGATTCTTTTCCAAATACATATATTGCTTATAAAATAATGTTAACAGTTTCTGTAACTGTTGCCTCAGCCGAAAGAAGTTTTTTCGAAATTATAATTGATTAAATCTTCTTTAAGATTAACAATGTCTCATGAGAGATTGAATGAATTAGCTATATTATCATTTGAAAAGGAATTATTAAAACAAATTGATTATAAAACAGTACCTAATGACTTCGCATCTAAAATAGTTAGAAAAGTAGATTTTAAATAAAATTATATATAATGAAAAAAAGTAAATATTAGGGACTCTCCCTTAAGTTTCGCTTTAGGCCTCCAATGTTGTTGAGTCGGCTCTGACTGCATTTTATGAAAAAAATAAATGAAAAAGACAAAAGTAAAGAAAAGGAATAAAGAATAGGGGAGCGGATGAGGAGAACACTTGGGGTGGTGAGTGGAAGGTAAAAATGTATAAATGGAGATAAAAGAGTACAAATGGGCCCATAAATCAAAGTGTCAACTATATAATGGAGCCTCACACAACAATTTTTGACACTTGGATTTATGGGACCATTTGTACAAATGGACCCACAAATTCAAATGTCAAAAATTGAGTGGAACCTCACACAGCTATTGTTGGTTGTGCCTCTACCATCTTAAAAATTTTCATAAGTAGACAGGGGGTAATATATATTTTATATGCAGAAAAAGTTGTTTTAAGAGATACGAGATACTTGTCTCTCTTTTGTATTTTCTATTGTTCATCGAGATACGAGATACTTGTGTCTCTCTTTGTATTTTGTGTTGTTTTTATCCAGTATAAAACCTCGGTTTCTATTAGAATTGGAATAATTTCTACGAAAATAATTGTCTACACCTTAAAATAAATTAGTGGATAATTATTATTTTTTCTATAGCGAATCTAAAACTGAAATCTGACACAAATTCTATTGCATTTGAGCTTTTAGAGATTGCATAATAGTCAGCGAAGCTGCGTCGGGGGCCAACATATTGTTCCCACATCGGTAGTGCAATACATAAGCTCCAGCTTTATGAGGCTTCATACCAGGAGCATATGTCACGACCTTACTTGAACAGGATCTGTTCTATAGGCTCGTACCACTGTATCCTTGATTTCTAAGGAGACAGGAAACCAAGTCTGGTTGATGAAGCATGACCATGTGACCAGAGCGTGATTAACAGCTAACCATTGCTTGTCGAGCTGTGGTTGCAGTAGATGATCGTTCTTAGACCCTGATCTCAGGCCTAGGATGGTCCCATGTCTGTCTGACAGACTCTCATTCTTTTTGTTTTTTCCTCTTGAACAAGCAAAGAAAGAACGGTTTCCTGTTTTCTTCATCTGCGTATTTAGGAAGTTTGAGAACTTTGGATCTGTTTGCAAGTCTAAGATGTCTCGCGGCTGTCTTAAACACTTTCTAATGTATCAAATATAGCCCAGAATGATTGTCTCGACTTTATTTTTGCCAATTCAACATTCAGCCTATGGATATCGTCAATTTGAAGCCTAAAAGAGTTGTTGAAACTTGGGTCTTAACTAAAACTGACATAAACGTAATGCATATTATTATACAGCACAATTCAACTCTAAAACAGAGTAACAAATTCATATATTCTCGTTTCTCACTATACAGCATATCAAAATCTTAAACATCAATATAACAATTTGCGACTAAACTTGATGAATTGGCATAAAGAGAATGATTAACAAGTCGCATTCATATCAAATTACAGTAAATCAAGATTAGTACAAGTTGAAAATCTTTCCTTGTCTTGGAAGAAATATCCACTTTCCATAAGACCATTCTTGGTGAAATCTCAACACATGAGGAGGGTAAGCAATGTTATCTCCAGTTGTAGGGAAGTAGACATAGTACTCATCTCCAACTTTCGCACTGATAAATCCGAACCACCATCCATCGTTGTCAAATACATCAACCATATCATATAGACGGAATCCATTTTCTGACATTGTTTCATATTGATTAGGTGGAACAGGGCGGATCTCGGCTGCAAAGAAAACATCCTCTAGCGGCTCAGATTCATCATCTGTCAACAGAGTCTTGTACTTGATTCTGTAGTAATCATCGCCAGTGGAACAAATAATAATTGCTGCGTAGTAAGAGCCTATGAAGCCTAATTCTTGACTTGCCACTTCAACTTCATCACCCTTTTCGAATTCTTTCGTTATCTGTTGTTTCTTGAATGCTATTGATTTGATTGACTCTGAGAGCATTGCCATTCTTGATTGATGGAGTTGCTCTGAGTTCATTTCCGTCACGTTGATTCGGGCCATTTTGTGGACTCTACTGTAGATTGATTGATTGATTTCAATTGAATGAAAAAGTGAGGAACTATGAGGCATTGGTATTGAATTTATAGGCAGAGAATTCTTTTCCTGTTTTCTTTTTGTTTTTCCTGGAATGACTCGGAATAGAAATTTCCTATTTTTTTTTATTTTTAATTTGTTAATATAATTTCTTACTTTCCTAATTTGCTAGGAACTTGAACTATGGCAAGGAGAAAAAAATTGTGATGGAGTTCTTTAAGATAACATAATCTTTAGAAATCTCTACCATTTGAATTAATTATGAAAATCCCCTTTTTCCTTCTCTCTTTTAACATTCGAATACATCACTTTACTTCTATCATATACATTACAACTTTGTTTGTGAATAATGTATCTGATACAAATGTTATTGTTGATACATAACCTCAATTATTTCAAACCTAAATCACTATGAATCTGAAACATATTTATGTATCGGGTGAAAGAGAAATGGAAATTATTGTAATTTGGAAAACTTTCGGGATATGATGAGTAGACTGGTTTTTTTCTTCTTAAATACTGGCATTCTTATTTATATTAAGGGAATGGTTAGAAATAATTATTAATTTTAGTTCTGAATTCCAAATGTGACAGTTAATTTGGGACGAGTGACAGTAGTACATCATTATTATTTACTTTTTTTTTTTCCTATAAAGAAACAAAGACTAGAAAAGTAAGTTGAGAATTGGAGTCTGTTTAGTGTGATATGCCAGAGCGCGATTAACAGTGGCTCCTTGAGCTTGTGGTGCAAATGATCGTTCTTAGACCTGATCTCGGGCCTAAGATGGTCTTATCGCTGTCTGACAGACTTACTTTCTTTTTTGTTTGCAAGCCAGAGTAAGGACCAACACTTTCAGTTTTAGTACAGTTTAGATTTATATGATATATTTAAATGTTCTGCAAACACGAAAGAAAAATCAAATGGTTGCAGCCATTAGAAAATCAAAATATTTTATCAGCATATGTAACAATTTTGCAACTAAACTTAGATTAATAATTCACATAAAAATAGGTTTAAAAAAATCATCTTTCCTAATTCCTTGTTTTGGGAAGATATATCCACTTGCCATTAGCCCATTCTTGATGATATCTCAACAGATGACGAGGGTATGCAATGTTATCCGCAGTTGTAGGGAAGTAGACATAGTACTCTTCTCCAATTTTCCCACTGATAAATCCAAACCACCATCCATCGTTGGCAAACACATCAACCATATCATACAGACGGAATCCGTTTTCTGACATTGTTTTATCTTGATGAGGGGGAACAGGGCGGATCACTGCTGCACTGACCATCTCTTCCAGTGGCCCGGATTCATCATCAGTCAACAGAGTTTTATACTTGATTTTGTAATGATAAGCGCCAATGGGATAAACAATAGTTGCATCGTAGTAAGAACCTATGAAGCCATATACTTGACTTGCCACTTCAACTTCATCGCCCTTTTGGAATACTTTTGTTATCTGTTGTCTCTTGAATGTTATTGATTTTATAAACTCTGAGAGCATTGCGTGGCGTTCCTCTGAATTAATTTCTGTCACTTTGATTGGAGCCATTATTGCAGACTCTACTAGAGATTGATTTGTGAATTGAATGAGCTTTGGAAGTGAATTTATAGGGAGAGACTTCTTGTTTCCTTCTGTAATTCGGAATGGGAATTGTTTTCTTATTTTTCTTTTGGTTTTCCTTTAATGACCCGGAATAGGAAATTTCCAATTTTTATAGTTTTGATTGGTTTATATCTTTTTTTTTTATTTTTTTCTTTCCTAATTTATTATGGAGTTCATGGCAAGAGGAAAAACTGCTATTGGAACGGTTTCTACGAAATTAACTATCTACAAGTTAAAATAAAATTAATGTATAATTATTATTTTTTCTATAACAAATCAAAAACTGAAATCTGACATAAATTTTATTACTTTAATTGCACTTTAGCCTTAGAGATTGCGTAGTAGTCAGCGTAGCTGTGTCAGGGGCCAATAGATTGTTCCCACATCGGCAGTGCAACACATAAGCTCCAGCTTTATGAGGCTTCATACCAGGAGCATATGTCACGACCTTACTTGAACAGGATCTGTTCTATAGGCTTGTACCACTGAATCCTTTATTTCTAAGGAGACAGGAAACCAAGTCTGGTTGATGAAGCATGGCCATGTGACCAGAGCGTGATTAACAACCAACCATGGCTCTTCGAGCTGTGGTTGCAGTAGATGATTGTTCTTAGGCCTGAGATAACCAAGTCTGGTTGATGAAGCATGACCATGTGACCAGAGCGTGATTAACAACCAACCATGGCTCTTCGAGCTGTGGTTGCAGTAGATGATTGTTCTTAGGCCTGAGATAACCAAGTCTGGTTGATGAAGCATGGCCATGTGACCAGAGCGTGATTAACAACCAACCATGGCTCTTCGAGCTGTGGTTGCAGTAGATGATTGTTCTTAGGCCTGAGATACCTGATCTCAGGCCTAAGATGGTCTCATGGCTGTCTGACAGACTTCCCTTCTTTTTGTTTTCCTTTTCGAACAAGCCTGGTCTGACAGAAAATGTTGTTCTAAGAGATGCAAGATACTTGTCTCTCTTTGTATTTTCTATTGTTCTACGAGATACTTGTGTCTCTTTTTGTATTTTTTGTTGTTTTTATCCCGTATAAAATCTCGGTAGGGGTGGCAGAATGAGCAATTAATATGAGTATCCGCTCACATTTATCCATTTTAAATTGGTTGGGTATCCAACTCATTTAAAAATGAGTAAAAACGAATAATACCTATTTAAAAGTGGATACTTAAATGGATAAAACGGGTAAAAGATGTGCATTCACACAAACAAACAAAAAAAGTGATAAATGGTGGGGTAGTAAGAAAGTCTTTTTTTTTTAAAAAAAATGAAACTTTTTTTTACATATTTTTTGGGATACGGGGGTGCGGAGGTGGGTTGGTAAAAAAAAATTATTGGAAAATTTTTTAAATTTTGTTAATTTTTCTTTGGATGGAGTGTGGGGGGATGGTAGGGGGTGTGGGATGATAATTTTTTTTAAAAAAAAATTAAAAAATTTTGATGTAAAAATTTAAAATTTTGTTAATTTTTTTTTGGGATGGGGTGTGGAGGGGGGGGGGTGGTAAACTCACACCATCCATTTCAAATAGGATTTGTCTGTAGGTTTCCCGGTAATAGGGATATCAAATTCTGGGAAGAACCAAAATTCCAGATTCAATATGGGACGATGGGGTGTGGAGGGGGGGGGGGGGGCTGGTAGGGGGTTGCGGTGGTAATTTTTTTTTAAATAAAAATTTAAAAAAATTTTGTTCATTTCTTTTTGGGATGGGTTGTGGGGGGGGGGGGCTGGTAGGGGTAGGGGGTGTGGTGCGGGGGCGGTAAGGGTGGGGTGGTAATTTTTTTTTACATTTTTTTGGGATGGGGGGGGGGGGGGGGGGGGGGGCTGGTAGGGGGTGGAGTGAAGTGATAAAAAAACTTTAGTTTTTTTTTTTTAATTTTTAAAGCTTTTAACAAGATTTCTATTATAATATGGATAAATATGGGTACCCATATTATCCATTGGGTAACTCGTTTAAACCATTTAAAATGTGAGTTGAGTCGAGTAACTTATCATTTTTATTTAACTCATTTTTTGATAGACTCATATTCGACTCGACTCGCTCGTTTGTCACTCCTAAACCTCGATATCTATCAGAATTGGAATAATTTCTATGAAAATAATTGTCTACACTTTAAAATAAATTAGTGCATAATTATTATTATTTCTATAACGAATCTAAAACTTGAATCTGACACAAATTTTACTGCATTTGAGCCTTAGAGATTGTGTAGTAGACAGCGAAGCTGCGTCGGGGGCCAACATATTGTTCCCACATCGGCAGTGCAACACATAAACTCCATCTTTATGAGGCTTCATACCAGGAGAATATGTCACGACCTTACTTGAACAGGATCTGTTCTATAGGCTCGTACCACTGTATCCTTGATTTCTAAGGAGACAGGAAACCAAGTCTGGTTGATGAAGCATGGCCATGTGACCAGAGCGTGATTAACAGCTAACCATGGCTCCTCGAGCTGTGGTTGCAGTAGATGATCGTTCTTAGACCTGATCTCAGGCCTAAGATGGTCTCATGGCTGTCTGACAGACTCCCATTCTTTTTGTATGAGACCTAATTGGAAGCCAAAAATGGTTTCCAGTTTTCTTCATCTGCCTATTTAGGAAACTTTGGGTCTGTTTGCAAGTCTAAGATGTCTCACAGCTGTCTTACAAACTTTCTAATGTATCAAACGAAGAACAGAATGATTATTTTGGCTAATTCAAGATTCAGCCATCCTATGGATATCGTCAATTTGAATCATAAAAGAGTTGTTGAAACTTAGTATAAACTAAAAAAAAAAAGATAAATCGTGAATGATACTACCATGTTTGTCAAGGTCAGTACAGCCAGTAAGTATATGTACATAAGCTGTTTCTTCGAGGTGAACCAAAAGGACATAATAAATGTTCCCACATCGGCAGTTCAACACATAAGCTCTAGCTTTATGAGCTTCATACCAGGAGCACATCTGCTTTCAAGATCTGTCGGACAGACTTTCCCTTCTTTTTTTTGTTTGGAAGCTTGTCTGCCTAGCATTGTTGTAACAAAGATCACAACTATTGTCCACTTGCACATAAGTTGTTCGTGTGATGTTCAATTTTAAGATGAAAATTATATTAAAACATACAAATATCTTTTTCACTTAAAAGGGAATTTTATAACCACACAATTTAAACTCACCCAGTATAAATCACTACTACATAAAATCGTTCCAAAAAAGGGGGAAAAGAAAATCTACCGATTTCTCGTAGCGGTCCCTCTCCGAAGCAGTGCAAATCTCGCCCGTACACATCAATCGATGCTCATTTTTCCAATAAATATCTAAGAGAACAGCAACAAGAACAAAAATTAAGTCTCGATATCACATAATTGTAAAAATAACGAAGTAGCAAATAAAAATCAAGAGGATAAGAAGCAGAGAGAATACCGAGGAGCTGAAAAGCAGAGAAAGGGACGACGAAAAGAGAGGGTTGAAGGGCGAGTGAAATTAGAGAAACAAAACGAGATTTGAGAGCTTTAGGAGTTGGCAATGTTAGCAGAATAGCTATTGCTGCCTCTGCTGCTACCACGTACGTTAATATCATCCATTGCAACGCCATTTTTGCTCTTTTTTAGTGTATTTTTTTCTTTTCTTCTTCGTCGGTTCCTTCGCTGGGTTAACAGACTCTTTTCTTAATTGACAAAGTCGAAGAAAGTTCTTTTCTTCTCATCCACTCCGAAATGACCAAATTCTCCTTCTTCCTTTTTTTTGTCCTATATATATATATATATATATAATATAGACTATTTATAAATGATATACATATTTCGTAAGCTAATTGAATATTAGGACTGTAATTTTTATGTATGAAGGATATGTACATTATGGTTTTTCCTACTGGTATAATATAAGTACAAGCAATATTTATTCAAAATTATTTTTCATAAAGAAATATGAATATGATTTTTTCATTTTTCTCACTTATGAATGAAAATATTTTCCTTACATTATCTTTCATATCACTTGCGCCGACCTACAATATTTTTTGGAGTGACAAGTAATTTTACGCTTATATTCTTAAAATAGCATGAATTTGTGTACATAAAATTCCACAATTTAAGCTAGAAAAGTATATGTTTAGCATATCAAAGTCTTAATCAGCAATATTACAATATGCAACTAAACTTGAATCACATTCCTATCTTAGTAAGGTAAATCAAGAATTTCATGAAATCAAGATCAGCATAAGTCGAAAATCGTTCCTTGTCATTTCAGGATTTTCCACTTGTCATTAGACCATTCTTGATGAAATCTCAACGCATGAGAAGGGTATGAATGTTATCTCCAGTTGTAGGGAAATAGACATAGTACTCTTCTCCAATTATCCCACTAATAAATCCAAACCACCATCCATCATTGGAAAACACATCAACCTTATCGTATAGACGGAATGTGTTTCCTGACATTGTTTCAAGTTGATGAAGTGGAACAGGGCGGACCTCCCCTATAGTGACAAGCTCTTCTAGAGGTGCAGACTTATCATCAGTCAACAGAGTTTTGTACTTGATTTTGTAATGATAAGCGGCCTCGATAGAAACAATAGTTGCTTCGTAGTAAGAACCTATGAAGCCTATTTCGTGACTTGCCACTTCAACTTCACCGTCCTTTTGGAATAGTTTTGTTATTTGTTGTGTCTTCACTGCTATCGAATCTATTTCCTTTGAGAGCTTTTCAATTTTTGATTGGTGGCGTTGCTCTGAATTGTTTACTGACACATTGGTTGGGGCCATTTTGAGAGTAGTAGTGAAGATTGGTTCAATTGAATGAAAAGTGAGGAACTATGAGGCTTTGCAAGTGAATTTATAGGCAGAGAATTATGTTACCTTTGGTAATTAAGAATGGAGATTATTTTCCTATTTTCTTTTGTTTTCCATTTATGATAGTTTACTTCATAACTTTGTAGTTTTACCAAAATATCGTTCAACTTACTAGTTTTAGCAAAAAGTCATTCAACTTAAATTAGTTTTACCAAATTAAAAAACGTACAACTTACGAGTTTTAGCAAAAAGTCATTCAACTTAAATTAGTTTTACCAAATTAAAAAACGTTCAACTTACGAGTTTTAGCAAAAAGTCATTCAACTTAAATTAGTTTTACCAAAATAAAAAACGTTCAACTTAAATTAGTTTTACCAAATTAAAAAACGTTCAACTTACGAGTTTTAGCAAAAAGTCATTCAACTTAAATTAGTTTTACCAAATTAAAAAACGTTCAACTTACGAGTTTTAGCAAAAAGTCATTCAACTTAAATTAGTTTTACCAAATAAAAAAACGTACAACTTACGAGTTTTAGAAAAAAGTCATTCAACTTAAATTAGTTTTACCAAATTAAAAAACGTTCAACTTACGAGTTTTAGCAAAATATCGTTCAACTTACTAGTTTTATCAAAAAATCGTTCAACTTAAACTAATTTTATAAAAAAAATAGTTCAACTTACTAGTTTTATCAAAAAATCGGTCAACCTAAACTAGTTTTATCAAAAAATCGTTCAACTTGCACTAGTTTTATCAAACAAATCGTTCAGCTTACGCTAGTTTTATCAAAAAATCATTCAACTTGCACTAGTTTTATCAAAGAATCGTTCAACTTACTAGTTTCATCAAAAAATTGTTCAACTTAATAATTTTATCAAAAAATCATTCGACTTATTACTAATTTTATCAAAAAATCATTCAACTTGCACTAGTTTTATCAAAAAATCATTCAACTTATTACTAGTTTTATCAAAAAGTCGTTCAACTTACTAGTTTCACCAAAATACCGTGCAATTTAAACTACGCTTATCAAAAAATCTTTCAACTTACTAGTTTCACCAAAATATCTTGCAACTTAAACTAGGCTTATCAAAAAATCTTTCAACTTACTAGTTTCACCAAAAAATCGTTCAACTTAAACTAGTTTTACCAAAAAGTCGTTCAACGTAACTTATATAAGTTTTACCAAAAAAGACGTTCAACTTATACTAGTTTTACCAAAAAAAGTCATTCAACTTATACTAGTTTTACCAAAAAAGTCGTTTAACTTAAACTAGTTTTATCAAAAAGTCATTCAACTTACTAGTTTTACCAAAAAATTGTTTAACTTAAACTAGTTTTATCAAAAGGTCGTTCAACTTACAAGTTTTACCAAATAATCGTTCAAATTACTAGTTTTACCAAAAAGTCGTTCAACGTAACTTAAACTAGTTTTACCAAAAAGTCGTTCAACGTAACTTAAACTAGTTTTACCAAAAAGTCGTTCAACGTAACTTAAACTAGTTTTACCAAAAAGTCACAACGTAACTTAAACTAGTTTTACCAAAAAATCGTTCAACGTAACTTAAACTAGTTTTACCAAAAAATCATTCAACGTAACTTAAACTAGTTTTATCACAAAGTCGTTCAACATAACTTAAACTAGTTTTACCAAAAAATTACTATGACCAAAAAACTAAAGAGACAATTATATAATCTCCTCAAGTTTGATTTTGTAATACTTCCTTCCTTTATGATTGATGATATGCTTATCTTTCTCATTCTTATAAACTTTAATGACTTGGCTACATAATTTGTTATAGTTAAGTGAAAACGTCATGGAGTTCTTGCTTCTGGGAATTGGGATGGTTTCTACGAAATTGATGGTCTTCACCTTAAAACAAATTACTCCCTCTGCCCCAGTATAATTATAACTTTAGTTTCATTTTTTCAAGTTAATTAAAGAAAAAATAATTCTAAGGTGTAGTTTATTTGATAAAAGTAGAGTGACTTTTTCTTCAATAATACTTATTTAATTGGTTTTTCAGTTGAGTTAGGAGTAATAATAAATCTTACATAAATTTCGCTGTTTTTGTTGCACTTGGACGAGTTTAGAATTGGAGATTGCATAGTTAGCCAAATTGTGTGACATGCCAATATATTACTAATATGTACTCCCACATCGGATATGCAACACATAAGCTCTGGCGTTATAACCTTCTATTCACTAACAATGGTCACGACCTTACTTGAACAGGATCTGTTCTATAGGCTCGTACCACTGTATCCTTGATTTCTAAGGAGACAGGAAACCAAGTCTGGTTGATGAAGCATGGCCATGTGACCAGAGCGTGATTAACAGCTAACCATGGCTCCTCGAGCTGTGGTTGCAGTAGATGATCGTTCTTAGACCTGATCTCAGGCCTAAGATGGTCTCATGGCTGTCTGACAGACTCCCATTCTTTTTGTACGAGACCTAATTGGAAGCCAAAAATGGTTTCCAGTTTTCTTCATCTGCCTATTTAGGAAACTTTGGGTCTGTTTGCAAGTCTAAGATGTCTCATGGCTGTCTGACAGACTCCCATTCTTTTTGTACGAGACCTAATTGGAAGCCAAAAATGGTTTCCAGTTTTCTTCATCTGCCTATTTAGGAAACTTTGGGTCTGTTTGCAAGTCTAAGATGTCTCACAGCTGTCTTACAAACTTTCTAATGTATCAAATGAAGAAGAGAATGATTATCTTGAATTTATTTTGGCTAATTGAAGATTCAGCCAGCCTATGTATCGTCAATTTGAATCATAAAAGAGTTGTTGAAACTTAGTCTTAACTAAAATAAAAGAGAAATCGTTAATGATACTACCATGTTGGTCAAGGTCAGTATAGCCAGCAAGTATTTACCTAGTATGTACATAAGCTGTTTCTTCGAGGTGAACCAAAAGGACATAATAATTGTCCCAACGGGTCCAAGCATATAATTCTCAGCATCTACAAATGTTAAGAGGCTAGTTTATTTTCTCTTAGTATAGCCAGTATATAAAAAATATCAGATGATTCTCGTATTTAACAAAAGTTTACGAATGTATTTTGGACATTTAACCTGTATTCATTTTGCTTCACAACACTCGCTACAACGTCTCACAGTCAAAAAGACTAAGATGTAATAAACATAATACTCATACAGCACTTGTGTCTTATCCAAAACCACAATGTTTTGAATTACTGGTGCACATCTATCTAATCTCCACCATTTTCAGTATCCTCTTCTTCAGCTATCTTCCTCTTTTTTTCTTCTTCCTCTACAAAATATCAATGTAGACAAGTCAAGAAAGTTTTAAAGTTGGGTAGCTGAAACAAAACTAACACATGAAACATATTGCCTCAAAGTCAATAAAATAATATGCTTCAATCTTATTCATTAAAAAAAGAAAAAATAAATAATAGACCTTCAAACCTAGGTAAAAGATCAAGATAAGATTAAAAGCATTCCAGGTTAGATTCTCAAGAAAACTATTCCATAATCTGCCAAAGATGCATTTTCTTGATCACACTTTTGTTTTTAAGAAAATAACACAGGGGAAGGGGTAGGGGAAATCCGGGATGGGATTACAAAGTAGGGATCAACCCCTCACCAAAAAGGTGAAAGATGAGGACCTATCAACTCAGATTACTAAGATTCCCCTTTAACTTCTAATATACAAAGGATTTTAGTAAAGAAAGGGAGAGTATTCCAGAATTATTTGGATTAGACAATGTTAATTCCGTATTGGTTTCATATGGCATCTCAAAAGTCAATAGTTGCTCCAACTGGACATGTGCTCTTGTGACTTGTCTGATACAACCTACAGCAGTTCAATCTAGGCCAAATGTTTGCTAGACTTTAA